GGGCTAAGACTGACTGCACCCTCTGTGGGTCGTATTCACCCATTGTAAAATGCAAGATTGCTTGGGGGTTATTTACATTTTACATGGGGGGAATCAGGCCCAGAGGCGAGTTAGAGCTTCACCACTTCAGTTTTGGAGTTTCATAAGAGTACATCTCATTGTGGGGTCGGGATGCAGGTGGGGACGGGAGCTCATCCCCTGTGACACACAGTATACAGAGTGGCCAGAGCTCCCTCTCATGCCCTATGAGAGGGAACGTGCTAGTATAAGTGGCCTAGAGCTTAGCTCAACTGTGAAGTGAGCGAGTTCTTGGTCCTGTCATCTTCTCCTGCGGGAAGTGGGGGGAGTCCTGGATGCAGGAATCTTTTAGGTACATTTCCACTCCACAATTTCACGGAGTAGCCTGAGGAGCAGCCAGTTGGAACCCTCTGTGCTTGGGGAGTGGGAGCAGGTGCACTGACTCAGCAATACAATGGCAAATGTTTTTTTCCTCCTGTTTAATGGATATTTACAGGGAACAGGAATTTCCTTTTCTGAGCTGGATTGTGTATATACTCCTTACTTGTGTTTTCTGCACAGCAGAAAACTGTGAGAGGTGGAGGATACATAGCCATGCACCCAAAGGAGGTGAGATCAGCTGTGCTGAGCTGGGGTTGAGGCAGGGACTACAAGGCTGCATTACTGGTCAGTATCATTAACTTGCCTTGTCCTTATAAGTAAAGTTTGAAATTCTCTCTCTTCAACCTAAAGCCTATGGTGTAGCTCATGTGTTTCAATGATCTGAGCACAGAAAGACAAACCGTAATTTGTGAATTCTCTCAGGTTCTGTCACTGCCTCTATCTATGATATTAGACAAGTCACTTTCTCTCTCTGTACTTCAGTTTTCCTTTCTGTAATATGGGAATACGAATACCTAACTCACAAAAGGTTGTAAACCTCAATCAATGATCAAAGAATTTTTGAAATGCAAAACACTTATTACTTTATAACACTTTTTATTTATTATTATTATTACCAGTCAGAAGTATCATACTGTGAAAGATCCATTAAACAGACTTCCTAAAGTCTCACACTTAACTGGCCTTCATTTATAGTCCCATAGGAAATGGGATCCTTATTCTACAGGACAGTTTTAAAATATTTTTTTTAGACATTACTTCAGCACCAAATTATTTTATGGTTTAAAAACTTACTCCTGGGGGAATTTTGCACCAAAAAATTCAAAATGCTGCAACAAAAATTTAAAAATTCTGCACACAATATTTTAAAATTCTGTAATAGTCTGCATATTTTATTTGTCAAAATAATGCAATATAATTACTCTGGTTTCAATTATTTCGGTAATTTATTTAAACTACAATACAATGGATGGAGAATGGGAGTGGGGAGCATTGGTGGAAATCCCCAAACCCTCTTGCCTAATGGTAATGTATCTAGGTTTGACCCTTTATTTCTAGTTATTAGTCAACAAATATATGCAGCCATATGCTCAGTGTTACATCCTAGGCAACTGAAGAGCAAGTGAGGGCTGGGGAATCAGACTCACAATTTATACTGGCTACTGACCATCTCCAGAAAGGTCAGTAGCAAACAGTTCATGGACCACATTTTCATAGGAATTTTTTCATTCCAAAAATTTAGACCAGTTCTAATCACTAAAGCACCATAGGCATTTATAAGGCCATACTGTTCTTTACAAAAACAACAAGGAGTCCGGTGGCACTTTAAAGACTAACAGATGTATTTGGGCATAAGCTTATGCCCAAATTCATCTGTTAGTCTTTAAGGTGCCACCGGACTCCTTGTTGTTTTTGTGGATACAGACTAACACGGCTACCCCCTGATACTTGACTGTTCTTTACGCCACTCTGGCAATGTAAAGGAGCATTAAAACTTTTACACCTGTTTTATACTCCAGGGGGAGTTCACTAAGACAATGGGAACAATTCACTAAGCAGGTAGGCTGCTACATTCTGCTCTGAGGGGAACAGAGCTTGCCCCACGCTTACCTCAGAAACACCCCAAAGCCCTTCCCCTCCATGCAAAGTGTGCTGCAATAGTGAGCAAGAGGGATAGTGTGTGTGTCTCGCGTGTGCACACACATACACTGCCCACTCTTCCCCGGCGGTGATTTACATTTCTACCAACTGCTCTGGGTGCCCAAACAAACCAGCCTGCACTGCCGGGGATCAGCGCGTGACCGCCCTTATGCCTTTTCCGTTGCTTCCCCGTCAGAATTCATTCTTCTGCGGGGAAGCAAAGAAATCTGCGGGGGACATGAATTCTGCGCACATGCCATGACGCAGAATTCTCTCAGGATTAAAAACTATGATACTTGTATGTCTCATACAAACAAAGCCATGCATGCCATATGCACAGCACATCTGAAAGGAGACAGATGTCTTTATACTCTGAACTAAGTGTGGCATTTGTGGGTTAGTTGATTCTCGCATACCAGAACTATTACTGCTCTTTTGCTTACGCCCTAGATTTCCACCATGGAATGAAGCACATACTTCTGTTGTAATATTCAGTGGATGCCCCTTCTGAAACACAGATGTTTTAGTTTAAAGATTTATTTTAAATGCTTGAAGATTACATAGTACTAAATACTTAGGCCCAGATTTAGGTTCCAAGTCCAGATTTTGGCTCCATTGCGATCCACAAAACTTCCACCAAATCCTGTAGGTGCCTAAATTCACCCAGTGCCAGTCTTCAGGGTAAAAATTCCCAAGGTGCCTAAGTTTCTGCCTCTGAGCATGTGCATTGCTGCCTCTCTCCAGGCATCCAAATGCCTATCTCCCTCCTAAGCCTCCGCGTGATCTATGAGCCAGACAGGCAGTCAGCCGCATAACTCACGTGCAGGGCCTGCGTTCTGGTAAGCGTGCCCAGAGGCCACCTACCAGACAGAGTCTCATTCAAAATCTGGCTGAAGGAGGAAGTGGCAGTGCTGTGTAAGTACTTGGTACACCATGGAACCGTCATTGGGCGAGTGAGTGTGTGTGAAAGAGAGAGAGAGAGAGTGTGACTCTATAGCCAGGTGGCTCGGGCACCCACGTGTGAGGTAGGAGGCCCTGAGTCCAGTCCCCCACTCTTGACTCTTTCATTATTGATCCACAACAGAACAGCTTCAGCAGCACAGGTTGAGGGAGCCCCACATCAGAATACCACATAATTCAGTGGTTATCACACTCACCTAGTATGTGGGAGACCCAGGTTCAATTCCTCTCTTGGCTTGAGGGGAGAAAGGATTTGAACAGGGGTCTCCCTTCTCCCCCTTAAGTGGAGGAGGGAAGAATCTAGTTCTCCCACATCCCAGGTGAGTGCTCTGAACAGTGGGCTGAAAAGCCTGGCTCTTCCTCCTCCTGTGTCCCCCCCCCCATGTTGTGTGGGCAAGGCAGGCACCTAACTCATTCCCACAAGAAACTATTTAGGCACCTAAGCCACCTGACACCAGGTGGAATCACTAAACAGAGAGTGGCGCCTCCCTGCAGCCTGGACTTAAGCACTTATCTCCATTGGAGGAGTGGAGGTTACCCCTTTTGTCAGCATCAGCTAGCCTTGGTTAGCTTAGGCAGCTCCCTGCCTAGCATGCTGGCTTTTTGTGGCTTGCAGTCTAAGATGCCCCTCTCTCTCCATTCATTGTACAGGGAACCTAGGTGCCTAACTCAGGCTTTGTGGACTGCAGTGAGATGCCATGAAAATCACAGATGCTCATCAGGCGCCGTGACTCTGAGTGTTACAAAGTCTGAGTCCTTCTGTGCATCCAGGTATTAATAACGGTTTTTAATTTTGAAAAGGAAGATGGATCTGAAGAGGACTCTTGTTGTCAAGAGGAATGGTTTTGTGTGTTTTTGACACCTAGTGTTTTTTAGCTGTAGATTTCAAAGCACTTTGCATAGGTGGGTCAGTATGATTTTCCCACAGTACAGAAAGGGAAGCTGAGACACAGAGGAAATAACTTGCCAAAGGTCACATAGCAAGGTAGGTGGCTAGCTAGATTTAGAAGCCAAATCTCCTGACTTCCAGCCTTATACTGTGTCTGCTGAACTATGCTGCTTCCCCAGTTTCACTGCCTGTCTAGAACTGGGGCCAATTGGTCATAGCTCAGGGCAACTGCACTTGTATTTCCCCTCGGTGCTCCCTCAAGAGCACCTCCTGACCAGGGTTTTTCCAAGCTGCAGAGTTCCCTGCCCACACTGTGATATTTCCAGCAAGCCAGACTGCCTAAACAGGCCAGCGTCTGGCCTTTGCTTTCTCTCCACAGGCTATGAACAGCTGCAATTGCCAGCAGTTACAGGTTACCACCGGCTCTTCCTGGTAATAGTCAGTCCTTCAGACCACACACAGGGGTTTTGTGATTGAGTTTGTAACAGCCTTTAGCTCAGAATAATTCAGTCTCTCCTTTATACAGGTTGGGCCTTTGATCGTGAGACTCTGGGTACAGGTGATCAGCAGAAAATGGTCCTCTCCTCAGGGTGTAGCTTCAAAAGTCTGGGTTTTTGGCATAACTGGCGGTGGAGAATTTGCTTTCACCTCCCCCTGGAGATACCCCAGGCAAACTACTTGATACTGTTTGTCCCAAAAGTTCATTCTTGTCTGGCACATTATTAAATGCGGTCAGTTGAAGGTCATAACACTTCCCAGGGTTCATATCACATCTCCCCTCTAGAGAGAGAACATACAGTCCCAGCCCACAATAATACATAATCTTTGTGTTTAATACACTGGATCCCAAAGATACTTGAACTTCATTCAGTAAGGTTTTTCAGGGATAGTGCAAGAAATTGTCACATCTGTTACATCTTGCTTTATGGAACATCTCACATTTTAGCCATTACGTTTTTGAGAAACATGAAGAGCAACATGTCCAGAGACACTGCAACAGTGTGACCTGTACCGCATCTTAGAAACACTAACAGTGGAGCTCATGGGTTCCAGACTTTACATCTGCCTTGAATAACTAGTAAAACCCTCTCCTTTTTTTTATTTTCTTAAGGTGAAGCTTCAGGTGGAAGAAAAAGAAGGGAAGAAATTTGAGGTCTTCACTGCTGTGGAGTTTAAAACTCAGCTGGTTGCTGGAATAAACTACTTCATCAAGGTACAGGGCAGTGGGGAACGGGTTCTCAGTTTGAATTTTATATGCGTAATATCTTATACTTGATTCTTGTTCAATTAGTTAATTACAAAGAGGTTCCTGTGATTTGGCCCTTAGAATGGGTGTCACAGAGGGACTGGCCCCTTTAAGAGGGAATGGGGTCCAGCACACCTATTGCTCATCAGCTAACCCCCCATTTGGGCTTAAAAGAGGGCACTTGGGCCCTGAGGAGGGAGGGGCAAGATCGGCAGGTGAGAACTGTTTGAGACCATGGGAGGGGGGAGAGAGAGATGCACACGCGCACGCACACACAGAGAAACAGGAAGCAGCAAGGAAGAGCTGGCAGGAGTTGCTTGGCAGAGAGCTGAGTTTAGAGGGAGAGCAGTAACTATGAGCTGCTGGTGAGATTGGAGGAAGGCTGTTGGTGAGAGGAGACCAAAGCTAGGGACCCCTGACAAGCAGAAGCCTCAGGCAGTGTCCCCTAGGAAAAGGGGAAGATCTGGCCCAGTCAGGGCAAATTGAGCCCAGAAGTTGAGGGTTTTTGCAGGAGGGTGAATTACCCTGAGTGGAGAGGGGTAGGTCTGACAGTCATGTTGGCCTGGAGGAGTGGAATGCTGGAAGAGAGGGAGTCCTCGGGGTGAAGACCTGAGCGAAAGGCTGTGGGAGGACTGGTCACTCTCCGGCAAAGAGGCCTGGAAAGGGGGACCCTGGATCGGGGCAAAAGGAACTGGGAACAAAGTGTTCCCAGGTGGTGACTTGCTGGTAGTGTCCCTGGAGAGGGAGATGGAAAAACCCACTGTATGTTAGTTCAGTGTGGACCGAAACGATCCACTCTTCCCTGTAGTGACCCCATGCAACAACCATGTTATGATGATGAAGGCGTTTTATTGTTTGTGGTACCAGATTAGATTAGAGCACCTCACTGCATTAATAAATTAACACCACCCCTGCCAGGTAAACAAGTCTGATTATCCTTGTTTTACAGAGGGAAACAACCTTTCTGTGCCTGAGTGACTTGCCCCAAGGCCACACAATGAATTTGTGAAAGAGCCAGGGAGTGAGCTCATGACTCCTAATCTGTGCCCCAACAAGAAGACAGCCCCTCCTCGGCCCCCTCTTCCCTTCCCCCAACCCAAAACACACACATGCTAAAATGTCCTGTCCCTGGAAGGCTTTTATTCCATGGAACTTACTGTCCCTTTCTTCTTACCTTTCAGGTCCATGTTGGCAATGAGGAGTTCTTGCACTTGCGGGTGTTCAAAAGCCTTCCTCATGAGAACAAACCTCTGAGCCTCTCCAGTTATCAGAGCAGCAAGACTAAGCATGATGAGCTGACTTACTTTTAGGGGCTCTTTGGAAGAGCCTCTCTCAATTTCTTTTTTTTTATAGGCTACAAAGTGATGTTTCCTATACCAATGAATAGAATGAAAATACATTTAAAAATCTTGTCTGAAATATCAATTCCTTTTCTAGAGTTCCCTCCCTCCTCAGTATCCCAAAGAAGGGGCCTGGTTCTCCTCTCACTTACACTAGTGTAAAACAAGCGTAGTTCCATTGAAATCAATGGATTTACACCGGCATAAATTCCATGTAAGTGACTAGAGAATCATGCCCATGGAATCTGTTGTGAGCTAAAGAGAAAAGGGAGTGTAACCAATACAACTGTGACATAGAGCAGTATAAGAATTAGAATTTCTTCTAGCCCTGTTACAGAATGCAATGTTACTCAATAAATTGTAAAGAACGAACACGTTATTGTTGGGGAACTAAAGATGGAGGTTTACAACACTGGAGCAAACTTGAAAAAGTCAAATTACTATGATCCTATTTCTTTTCAAATAGAAGCACTTCCTAGGCGATCAAATCCACCCCCTGCAAGGATATGATATAGTTCTCAATAGAGGACATGTCAGATATGACTGTGCTTCTTCACCAGATCTTAACCAAAAGTCCTTGTAAGGCATTAAAACCACATAGGCACTTCTAAACAGATAATATTTCTACGGAAGGTACAGGTTGTATTTAGCAGGTGTTTTGCTCTGTTCTCTTAGCTATTGTTGAAGATGTATGTGTTGATTTGGATTGTTTTATTTATAAGGGCCATCTTCCTCACAGCCCCAAGAAAGGGCAATCTCCCTGACAGACCAGCTGCCATTGAAGTGCAGATTAAAAGTGCTATATAAGAGCTAAGTATTATTATTTATTAACTGGTTGAACAAAGGTTATGCTATATTTGTAGCATGCTAGCTCAATCAGAACTAGCCCAGGTATGTCTCCTCATGCTGGGAATTGCACCTCCAGCTCGAAGTGTGGACATCGAGTGGAAGAATCATAAGATTCCCCTGAGACATAGGTAAGGAGAAGAAGCCTAATGCCTGAGGGAAGGGTGCATTCAGAGAGACCCAGAAGGCGACAGAGGTGCAACTAGCCTGTGACCGTGACAGTACCTAAGTATGGACTTAGGAGCTGAACTTTAGGTAGTCACTTTTGAAAACCTTGACCCCAGCAAGTAGCAACTGTGGTAAAAATAAGTTTTGAAGGACATACAAGAGGAGATTTTTCAAAGAACAGATGGCAGTTAGGAATCTAACTCACATTGAAAATTTCTCCCGAGAGTATGAAAGATTTGTAGTATGGAAAAAGGCCGTAAGGTGGTGTGCTTCTTTAGCTGCTCTGAGTTGATGTGGCACAGAGTGAAATGGATTCAGTGGAAATGGAGTGAAATGTGTTGTAAAATATCTGGATAGTCAGAAAATTCAACTGGCTATGAGAAAAAGCAGGAGGCTTTATGAAGCTCTCATCAGGAGCAGGGAAAGGCTGATGTTTAATACTGTTGATTTAATAGGCTAGAAAACCCTGGGATATATAGGGTACAGAGCATTGTTGGAAAATAAACTTCATTTCAGTATCCATCCAGCAGAAATGGTGCTGCCAAGATCCAGAGCATATTGGGGTGAAGAGAAGGAACTTACTGACTGAAAGGAAATTTTTTAACCTTGATTACAAAGGAGGATTCAGAAATTCCTGAGAGTTGTATTAATAGTACTTCATATCCATACCTGTCTCTTCTAACATGTCCATTTAAGTGGGCACTGATAACTATTTCCTGGAATTTGCTGAAGAGCAGTGCCTAACATTTCTCAGAAACTTGTCTTCTCATCCTCCCCACAGCCAGATTGGGATGCATATGCACTAACTATGTTTAGCAGGCCATATTCAAAAGCCAGCTTGACCATCCTTAACCTGATTCTACTTACTGTCAGCCTCTTTCCTTTATTTTACTCTCAAGGGCTATGTCTACTCCATGTCTTGAGTTGGAGCCCCTGCAGTATTTTGTATTCTTCGCCAATCACTTTGGCCTTTTCCCCTTTCTGTTTTGTTTCCTGGATGTATGCTATCTGTATCTTCCTCTTCAATGTCTCTGCTGGGTCCATGCTACAGCCAGTTAGTGTGCTGACATTCCAGCTTGCCTGTCTGATCTTAGTTTTCTGGGGAGCTTCTTTAACTGCACATGCCCAAAGCTGTACCATAGCCCTGGCCAACTTTTCACACTTGGGCAGGGGCACTGTGCATCGTTTCTAGAATACCCCTCATTTTCTTGATTCATTTCAGGACTCATAGAGTCAATTTATGTAAATTTTTGCTGCCAACCTGCTGCCAACTCTCTTCCTCTTTCAACTGGGCTTGGAATTGGTTCTGGCAGAGGAAAAGTATTCACATAAAGTTCATGGATCTGGAAAAAGCCTCTGACTGATTCCAAGGGAAGTCATCTGATGGTACATGAGGAGGAAGATTGTGCAGAACTTGTACAGCTTATTGAAGCCATATATGTAGGTGCAACACCAACAATCAGAACTTGTGGTGCTGAAACACATGACCTATCATTAAAGGTTGGAGTGCATAAGGGATCAGCATAGAGCCCTTGTTTATCCTGGTCCTAGATACCCTCACAAGAAACATACAGAAGGAGGCACCTTGGTGCATGTTGTTATAAAATGATATTCTATGCAGTGAGGAGAGGATCTTGATAAATGGAGAGATGTATTGGAGAGACATGAGCTCAAAATAAGCAGAGGAAAAACAGTATAGGGCAGAGCGGGCAAACTTTTTGGCCTGAGGGAAAAGGGTTTTGGAAATTGTATGGAGGACCAGTAAGGGGAGGCTGTGCCTCCCCAAACAGCCAGGTGTGGCCCGGCCCCCGCTCTCTATCCAACCCTGCTTCTCGCTCCTTGACAGCCCCCCCGTACTCCTGCCCCATCCAGCCCCCCCGTTCCCTGATGGCCCCCCGGGACCCCTGCCCCATCCAACCACCCCTTCTCCCTGTCCCCTGACTGCTCCCCCATCCAACCCCTCCTCCCCTTCCTGACTGCCCCCCTGGGATCCCTGCCCCCATTCAACACCTGTGGTCCCCGCCTTCTGACCGCCCTGACCCCTATCCACACCCCCTCCCCCTGACCACCACCCCGAACTCCTCTGCCCTCTATCCAACCCCCCCCTCCCATCTCCTTACTGCGCTGCCTAGAGCACGGGTGGCTGGCGGCGCTACAGCCGCGCCGCCCAGAGCACCAGGACAGGCAGCTCATCAAGCTGGGCTCTGCAGCTGGGCTGCCCCAGGAGCTCGCAGCCCCGCTGCCCAGAGCATTGCGCCAGCAGCGGAGCGAGCTGAGGCTGCGGATGTGGCCCGCGGGCCATAGTTTGCCCACCTCTGGTATAGGGTGTGTAATTTCAGTAATGTGAACACTGAAGAATTCTCCTTGAAACTAGATTGGCAGACAGTACTGAAAATGCAAAGTTTCAAGTATCTGGGTTCCAGAATCTGGGGATGTGAGGGAGAATAGTAGAGCTAGGATAATACATGCCTGGTTCTAATGGAAAGAGATAAGCGGTGCAGAATATGACAGGAAGAAATCAATAATATTAATAGGGAAAGTCTATAAAATGGTGGTCCTTCCAGTTTTAATGTATGGCACTCAGTGTTGGGCAACAAAGAAAAAACATGAGTAAATGATCCACAGAAATTTGAATGCTGAGATGGACAAATGGCATAAGCAAGAAAGACTACATGGAGAATGTGTGTGTTACAGACATGCTCAAAGTAACATCCATAAACAAAAAAATGAGGGGGTGGAGGGTCAGATGGTTTGGTCATGTACAGCACAGTCCTGACAACTATATGGGTAAAACAGTCCAACAGATCAAAATTGATGGGGGAAAAAGACGGAGGCTGACCCAACAAGAAGTGGTGAGATGTCATCATAAAGGAAGGCACGTTAGCATGTAGTGTGATAGACGATATGGCACTTTGGAGGGAGAGGACTTGTAGAGTGGACCCCCTTTGATGGGATTAACAGAAGGAAGAAAAAGAAGAGCCCTTCTTCGTGTGTTGGTGTAATGAGATTTCAGAATAAGTCGGAACTAATTTGTGGCTCAAATTCTGAAGTCAGGAATGTTCTGTATTCTAAGAGGAACCCAAGGAAGCTGGGTCATCTGTGCTGCAGACCTTTTTCAGAAAATAGTAACAGAATGCAGGCAATATATCACATTGTGTATATGTGTATTATACTCTGTACTGTCTATATTCCTAAAGCGGGGCAATTTATGTTCACCTGATCTTGGCCTCCGTGCACTGTAAAACAAAGTATTCAATGCTAAGGAAATATTGTTGCATGCACAAGACAAATTCTAGTACATGACTGGCTCACTTGTCACGTGACTGTTTTCAACTAATGTTTGAAATTGGTGAGTAATGCTCACTAATCATATCTCACATGTAAATATCAGCGCACTGGCTGCAGCTGAGATCAGAAAAAATTATCACTGCTGAGCCATTCAGGAAGAAGAGATTAATTGGCATGTGGTGTTTGTTTGGCTGTTCTTTGAGTGGCCCATCATATTTCTTTTTCTGTGTACTTATCCTGATCTCCGTTGTAGGTTAGGTTAATATGTATTGAAAAGTTGGTATGAAAGTGCCCCCTTGTGCTGATGCAATATAAACAATATGACATATAAATGAATCAGAGAAATTCTGGAAACAGGCATAGAAAGCAACATATACTGGCATCCATACATACCAACCACCATGTTAGTTAATATCCGCTTCTGCAAAAGCTGTGTCTTACCTCATATCAAGATTATGGAAAATAAGTAACTGACTCAAATGAACTTGGAGGAATTCTGACACAAAAGGTATCTTGAGACATATCCACTGTGACTTCCTCAGGACTCCTCTATTCTGGGAAATACTCCTCCCTTATTCTCAAGAAAAACTGGTTAACATCAGTGTTAAAGGGGAATTTATGGGGAATTCACAATACTCTGTATGCAGAGAAAGAAATGATTCCAGGATCAATGTTTCTACAAGGTAGCATACTCCTTGCTTGCCCTTGCACAAACAATGCTTTGTAAAAATCTGGGGTGTTGACGTGAAGAAAAATTACTATAAAAATGATATATGAAATATGGTGTGACAATCAGTTAGCTACTTTGGATTTAACCAAGAGATGGTGGTACACATCCTTGGATACGGAGTCACAGGAGAAGTCTGCTTCCATTACTGATTTTGTACATTTTGAGTTTAAGGTGCTACCCTTCTAATTAATGCAAGAGCCATATTTCATAGGCTGGTTAATCAGGCATTATATGGATTCCAGGACTTTACTATCAGCTACGTAGATTACATCACTATATTTAGTGACACCAAGGAGGAGCACAAAGCACAGGTGGGGAAGGTATTGAGAAGCCTCAGGGAGGCAGGCCTCTCACATCAAAGTGTAGGCTGGTGCAGCAAAGATCCCTTACCTGGGTCATTG